ATTTTTGTGAGTTGAAAAGACATGGGTCTCAATGGGACTTGGAAAGCGACGATTTGACCCAAAAAATAGTTTTAAAAAGGGTTTTTAAATGAAAAGTTTGGAGTCGCCACTTGGTAATGATTTAAGGTGTACCAAGTCACCTAAAAATGAGTTAAGCAGTAATAAACCCTTTTTAAAACGACTCCTAGTCTACGTAAAACAAAGAAAAAGGTTCGGGAGTCACGTTTGACAAAGGGGAAGGCAAGGATAGACTCCAAGGCACCCCTTTGACCTAGCCAAGGCTAGTTGCGTAACTTAACCCTAACTTTCCTGACTTTCTACCCAGGGTATGTATTGCATGTTGGATTATGCCTATATGAATGCGAAAACGAAAAAATGCAATCCTAAATTCTACGATGTCTCTCGTGAGGTTTTTGGTCCCAAACCACATGAATTGTGGCGGCCAATAAAGGGAAACCTCATAGAGGTCGATTGATGCAAATGGTGACTCAAATGCAAGTGTGCAAGTGTATGAAAAGATTCATGTATGAAATGGTGTAAAAAAACAAAGTGTTTGTGTGCGCATGTGTAAAGAAAGTGCACGTGTGAATTTGGATGAAAAATCAAAGTATTAGTGTGTGCGCAAATGAATGAAGATAGGATTATAAATATATATGAAACTTGAATTCTACTTGTGGAGTAAGATGAGTAAAACATAGTGAAAAATATGGATTGAGAAATGTGGAAAGAAAAAGTGATTAAAAGAGCATGGAAGTGAGAAAAAATGAAAGTATGTCCCTAAGGGAATGCAACAAATTGGGTATGGGGATGACGCCTAATTTTCGACTTTGATTTTCCCTCGGATTAGAAGGTAAAACTAGCGTGCTAAGGCTATCGAGTAGCCACACTCGCTCGTTTCCCTTATCAAGAGGGGATTTTCACGCAAATGAACCCCAACTAGCATGAGATGCAAGTCCTAAAGTGAAGGGGAAGGGGTTTGAGGAACATACCAAGTGATAAACTAAGGGAAAATGCGTGATATGTGGTGATCATGCACTTAATGAAAAAGGGAAAAAAGAACCTATTGGGTCTAGCATTGGACTAGCCCATTCTATGAATTCCAACTAGCGTTGGACTAGTGGAAACGATAAAAGAAGCTACAACTAGCGTTGGACTAGTGTGGTGACGTACATTCATCCATTCCATTCATCTATACTACAAAAAGCGAGTAGACATGCGAATCACTTATAAACACGTAGCACATAACACTTAGCATGCTTGACTAGATGCAAAATCCTAATAAAGCATTTAACATATAACACATAGGCATGCAACCATTACATTTGCTAACTAAAACAAAGGGGAAAGGGAAAATGGACCAAATTACTTGCTACACCCTATCTATTACAAGCCAAGAGGTGTACACATACCCCATTAATAAAAATCAAAAGTAAATGAAATAAATGAAAGGAAATAAGGAGCGGTTAGGAAAGCAAGTAGACATGCAAATTTCAAATAGCACATTAGTCCACATAGGAGAGAAACAAAAGGGGTAAAAGAGATTATACCTCCCCGTTGGTGATACTAAGGAAGTAAACAAACTCAACTTGGCTAGAGTCACCCAAGAAAAGACTAACTTAGGCTAAAATCACCAAAAAACAAAGGATTAATGCACCAATTTAGTGATAAGATATAAACTAAACAATTTGAATCCACCAAAACATCAAACTTTCCCTCAATTGCAACTCAATGAAGTCAAAACTACTTAAAGACCAAGGCAGAAGGCATGATCATCCAATCCCCAAGCATAACATCTACTAAGACCCAAATGCAAGCACTACTCAAATCAGTTGAACCTAATAAATCGTTTAAGCACTTCAAAGATTCCAAAAATAAAGAAAGAGTCAAACAATGATTGAAGTTGCAATGATTTTAGAACTTAATCACAAGATACTGAAACATGCTTGGGCTATTGTGGCACAAAGAGAAACTTAGAGGGATCAAATTGATTGAATTCTTCAATTTGCTTGGGCCATGGTAAGATAAGGAGAGACTTAGGGGGCCAAAGTGTAAAGAAAAAGCCAAGGAATGGTTCAATTTGCACTTTTAGAAACCAATTACAACCATCAACAACCACTCAAGTCTAATTAACACATTTTGGGAAATTCACGAGCTCAAAAGCAAGGAAGGGGGCCAAGTCATGACTCAAATTGCAATTATTTTAGAACCCAATTGTAAGCTACTAGAACATAGTTGGGCCTTAGTAATATGCGGAGGAACATGGGGGATTGATTTGCAATTTTTGAAACTTTTTACATGCCAAATTCATGCAACAAAGAAAACAACGTAAACAAGTTTCTGCAATAAACTTTCGGCAGCTTCCTCTTGTAAACTTCATGCCAGATTTTAAACAAACAAACTAACTAACACCAACTCTCAAACACCCTTGACAACTGAACATTTTTGTTAACTCAATCCCTTCATAAACAACCAACCATTAAAATGAAATGAAAGATCAAATGATGAACCATATTGCGGCAGAAAATAGAACTTGCTGGAAATTTTATTTCCCAAAAACGCAGGTTCCCATCCAAATGCCCAATTTTGATCTAAACTTTGTTCCCCAGACACCAAAATGGAAAACTAAGCAACCAAAATAAGAACTTCCGCATCTAAAAAGGCTAAAAAACTTAACAGGATATCACGCCACATTCTGAAAGAAAAACATGCAAACATTTGATGTTCAAAATCTGCTACAACTAAAGGAGAGGTCTGCTGCAGCTTCATTTACAAATGGGCTCTAGACAGCCTTAAGTATAACCATTTCATTTGTCCAAACTTTGGATTAAGCAATCAAAACAAATAAAACTCACATCCAACAAGCAAAGCATAGAAGGAAATTATATAAAACACCTATGGAACTTTTAGGCAAGATGGAAAGAGATTGCTGTAATTTGGGAGCTTTGGCAAAAAGGGTAGGATCTTTTGGCAACAAAACTAGTTGTGATTTTCATTTCCAAACACAGATTTCAAACCCAAAAGATAGCTTAGTTCAAAACAGAAAATGTTAACCAAATCACATTGTGGAACTAAATCACCAGGTTCGAAACTTTGACAGCAAACAAACATAACCCACTGATGCCAGTTTCTTGGCAACTTTCATGCCAAATGATCCAACTACTTATTGTCTATGTGGCCAACAAACATTCAGTTCCAACTCAAAGATGTTTAGACTCAAACACCCAAAACAATCAAAGCATCATAACAACCATTTCCACATGCAAACAAACCAAAACATAGCAGAAAAATTATGCAAAGGCTGGAAAAATCTGGGCAAAACATTCGTGTGACAGTGACATAGCAACCTGGAATTCATTTTCCAGCCACATGTTCGACTATAGTTCCAGTATCTCAAACTTTAAACACACAAACTTAACACCAAACCTCTCATTTCCTAGACAAACTAATATGAAAAATGAACATAAAGAAAATGCAGCAAATGGACCGAAACTTCAGTGTGTGCAGGGCAATGTTTATGGCTATAACAAACCAAAAGCTGTCGGGAAACTATTAGACAGCAAGTGTGTGAGTTCCTTTTTTTTTATGCATTTAGAAGAGAGGGACACCAACCTGAATAGAACAATTATCAATCCCATGCTAGACTTCAATGTAAACAAACGATAGCCAAGGAATCAAGAAACAGGAACAATAGATATGCAAATAAAAAACGAAGAAATAAGGAAACCCATCAGCAAAATGCAAATTGATTGTATACCAAAGATAATGGACAGCCAACCTTTGTTGTACACATTTTGAACATGACCCATATTCACCTAAAAGAAATCTAACGTTGCTCAGACCAATCAAAGGAAAGAAAAAGGGCGTGAAAGAAACCTATGACACAAAAGAAACAGATTTCCCTCACAGGTTTCCTCACCCTAAACCACGCGAGCAGAAACACACGGGCAAATCAGAACCAAGCTCAGATGGATCCTCACCAAGAGCAGGGAATACACAAATAAACATTCTTTAACACAATCGTGGATCAAAAGCTTTCTTCTCCCCCTCCAAACCCAACCAAAATCTCGGTCAGACATACCAAAAAGAAAGAAAGTTACAGAAAAAAGCATGACTTTCAATGTACATCCCAACAATCGGCTATCAACAAAGTATAAAAGAAAAAAGAAATCACCTTTAACCTTTTTGAAGGCAAATCAGGGCGTAAAAATGATTAAACAGAGCAGCTCTTGGGCTTGAAACAACTTCACTCTAGTGTTGATGAAGCTGGGGTTTCTCCAAAAACTTTTCGCTGCCTTCCTCCTTCCAGTTTTCTCTCCGTTTCAATCCTCTAACTCTCTTGGTTTCCTCTCAACTTTCTGTCGCCTCCCTCTAGTTTTTCCGTTCGTTTCTCTTGCTTACTTCCCTAACTCTCTCCCCCGGCAATCTCCTCTATCCATCCCCCCTTGCGGCTGTCTTTCCTTTTCTTTTTATATCTAGTTTCTAACCCTAAAACTTCAGGTCCTTTTCTCCATATTTGCACTCCCAGGAGCCGTCCCAATCCCCCTTTGCAAGCTGCGCAAGTCCGCAGCTTTCATGCTGCGGCATTTTTTCTTTTTTTTATTCTTTTTTTTTTTTTTGAAACTAATTAAAAAAAAATTAAAAATAAACTTAAAACATATAACAAAACAATTTAATTAACGATGAATGGAAAATAAATGGCCTAAAAACAACAAAAATACAACTTCCATTTCTCGTCGATTTTCCCTTTTTTTTCATTTTTCTCTTCTTTTTTTTTTGGCATTTTCTCTTCTTTTTTTTCATTTTTCATTTTTCGAATTTTCACTTTTAAATGAAGAAACTAATCTAAAACAGATATTTTTCTTTTTGAGACATTCTACGCTAAAATAACTAAACTAAAAGTAAACAAAACTACATGTGACAAAAAAAAATAAAAAAAAATAAAAAACAAATAGTAAATAAATAAATAATAAAGCACCAAAAATTTGGTGTCTACAAGCCAATAACTGACGTCGATTTGCCTACCAGGAAAGAGCACTTCCATCCCACTGATGACTCTGTCACTCTGGCAGCTCATCGATTTGCAACACTTGGCAGGGCACAGAAGAAAAGAAAGTCAGTACACTTGGTTGACTGAGAACTGAGTCACTTGAGCAGTTAGTGTGTCTTAAGAAGTTGATACCACCTTTTTTTTAATGTTTAAAATGAATATAGACTTTGATAATCGATGCGCAGTTCATTTCTTTTACATGGACTCACTATCATGTAATGCTATCCATTTTCTCTGTCTTTAGGTTTCTCTTGCTTAGTTTATGTCGTGGTCATATTACTTGCATAAGAACAGATATACATAATGTATAGTAGATTTAACTTAATATGCCATTACCGTTGCTTACTTTTGTCGCATGTTAGCGTGATGCTTATCCTTCAGGTATTCATCTTTTTTTCCAAGTAATAGGAAGGAATTGTGTGTTTACACTCAGGAAGAGATGAGGGATTCATGTCACATACTTGATTATCAAACTAGGGTCCCATGGAGGGGGGGAGGGGAGGAAGGGTGTGGGAATATGTGCTAGATCATCTCATACTCAAATTGAAGTAATTTTTTTTCCTAGTAATAGGAAGGAATTGTGTGTTTACACTTTGCACTCAGGAAGAGAATGAGGAATTCATGTCACATACTTGATTATCAAACTAGGGTCCCATGGAGGGGGGAGGGGAGGAAAGGGGTGTGGGAATATGTGCTAGATCATCTCATACTCAAATTGAAGTAATTAAGTCTTAAAATTTTGCTAGTACGACATTTACAAGTCTGGTGTATCTTCCTCATTAACTAACCTCTTAGTCTATGTTCTTCGCTTCGCTAACTTAGTTGTAGTATGTCAATTTAAGGGTCATGAACTGTATCACAAAAGCACAAAATCTTAGTTGAATAAATTCTTAAGTGAAAGAAATATCTACTTGATATCTACTCAGTTGCTCTCTCTCTCTCTCTCTCTCACAGACACACACACACACACACAACATACAAACATGCAGACACTCCCACACTTGTTCAATTAATAGTCATGTTGTCCTTTTTAACAATTCTATTCCTCTTATGGTTGAGTTGATTGGAACTTTCTCATTGCAGGTCTATATATGGGATTCTGAATAATTTTGGAATTCTAGCTTTCTTGATAGTCATGTTTTCACTTGTGGACTGGTGTGCATGGCGAATTGTTAGATTGCCCTTACCACCTTTTTATTTGATACGGCCTTTTGCAATATCCATAGCTATGGTGTGTTTTGTAGGATATATGTGTTCCGTTGCTTCGTAGTTTGAGGCTTCAATCTATAATTAGGAATGGTCCAGCTCGACACTCTTATAAAAGCAGAACCCCTACTATGGGTGGCTTATATTTCATTCCAATTGGTATAATAGTTGCAGAAGTTATAGTTGGCTTTTCTTCTATTGAAGTTTCTGGAGCAGCGGCTGTTACTCTAGTGTTTGCAACCATTGGACTCGTTGATGATCTATTGAGTCTCAAAAATAACAATAATGGTTTATCTGCAAAGATGAGAATTTTGTTGGAGGTGAGTTTCCTTTCATTCCCTGCTTCTATAGGATTTATTTGCTTTGTATAACACAAAAAGATGGTGATTAACAGATAGCTGCAACAACATGCTTCTTATGTTGGCTCTGTACTGCGGATATATCATCACCCTACAGCATGTATACCTTCTTGTAACTAACTTGATCAACATTTTTTGATGGTAACCACACTTCTATTCTTCCAATGAAATTTTCAAGAGGATGTCTGCTGCTCCTTTTGTTTGTCATTTTTTCTGTTTTCTTTTTGGCTTTAATTTTTCTTGGTTGGAACTTGAATCTTTTTTGCTTTTTTGGCTTTTCTTTATTTTGGTGCTGAAATTTGTCATCACAGGAAAAGAATATCATCCTTATATCTTATAACGAATGGTACCATTAAGATTTAATAGTTGCAGATATGAGCTTTTAGGTTGATTTGCGGCATGAGGATGGTTTGATTAGAATTTTTTGAACTCTAACTAAACATATACATGAGGAGCATCCCTCATCCACTACTTATGTCATTGTCTATTTGAAATTTTTCACAGGAAAATGCTGGTTCCAATGCCAGCTCCACTTGGTCTTCTGTGCCTTGGAAATTTTTATCCATTTTTAACTTCATTTTGCTTTGTTTCAATGGCGAATGGAGTAAATTTCACAGATGGTCTTGATGGATTGGCTGGTGGGACTGCTGCATTGGCTTTCACTGGGATGTCAATTGCTGTTCTTCCAATATGTGCCGGTTAGTATGTAAACTATTGAACTTACTGCTGTAAGATTTAGATTCTTGGCTATTTTTGTTTCAGTATTTTACTATAAGTGAAATATCAATTAGGGTGTGTAGTAGGAATTAGTAGTGCAAGCAAACTGAGCTCATGGCAAGTGCAGTGCTCAATTTGACCAAAAAAAAAAAATTTTGCCTCAACTCGATTTATAAACCTTAAATTCAAGCTCGAGCCGCTGAATTAGCAATTCAATTCGAGCTCAAGCTCTAAAAATCTAGGCTCAGAGGCGTGTGAACCTTATCTTATTGGTATCTAGGCTCGGAGACTGTTCATAGTCTTAAGGGTGGGTTTTATTTTATGTGATATTTTATTGGTAAAGAACTGCAAGAATTTGTGGTAGCGCTCTCATATATGCTTTTGTTTTGGCCAAGACAAAAACATGGATACGACTTGAATTCATTTTTGGCATCAATTTGGGCAAATGGTGGTATGAAATTCATTGTAATCAAAGTGCTAGAGTCAAAGTAGGCATATTGCTGATTGATGAATACTACCAGATTGAAGCTTCAAACTTTTGTTCTGAGTTTGAAATCCAACTCAAGTTTTTTGCTGTAGTTTGGTTGATGATATCTTATATACCCTTTTTGTCAAATTCGTTTGTTTTGTTGTTCATAGTCTTATGGATGGGTTTTATTTTATCTGATATTTTATTGGTAAAGAACTGCAAGACTTTGTGGTAGCATTTGTATATGTGCTTGTTTTGGCCACGACAAAAGCATGGATATGGCTTGAATTCATTTTGGTATCAGTTTGGGCAGATGGTGGTATGAAATTGATTTTAATGGAAGCTGTAGAGGCTTGATGTGGCTTGAGTTCGAGCTCGATTATGCCCCTAACTTGAACATACAAATATTCGGGCTTGACTCAGCTTGATTATGCCCCTACTTGGATTTGTTATTGCTAAAAACAAGGACTGGGAAAAAAAAACTTATATTGTTTGTAAAATTGTACTTTTTCAACATTTGGCTTTGGAATCTTTGTTTGTGCTAATTCTTGAACTTTAAATCAGATCTTGCTGTGTTTGGAGCCTCAATGGCCGGTGCCTGTGTGGGTTTTCTTTTTCACAATCGGTACAAAGCATCTATATATATGGGCAACACTGGAGCCTTGGCCTTGGGTGGAGCCCTTGCTGCCATGGCTGCCTGTACAGGAATGTTCTTTCCCTTATTCATTTCATCAGGAATTTTTTTCCTTGAGGTTTTGTCAGTTATAATGCAGGTACAATATCTCTATCCCATGGAAACTGATCTTCTTAAACAGATTTTCAAGAAAATGGTAGATGAGTTCCATGTATTTTCCTACATGACTTGAGAAAGTTCCTGGCATCCTGGTGTACACAAATTCTATTTGTGATTTGCACTTGATGCTTTTGTTTGTAATACAGTGTGCACGCAGATTTACTGAGGTGTAATGGAATATGGATTCTTATAATTACTTTTTATGAATTGTTTCAGTTCTTCAATGCTGTCGTGTTGTGTTGCTGCTTCTGATTTCCTTTTGAGATGGAGGGCTGCGGACCTAACATGCCTAATGTCCTGTCGATTGTTTATATTTGTCATCATTATTATGTCTACACATCTAGGAGATGATATTTGGAATCTTTTATCTTAGTTTTCTTTCTTGTTCACTTTTTCCCTTTTTTTTGAAAATTTTTTTCCTGTTTTCTTTGTTTCTTCTTTTTTGTCCAGTTTTTTAATATTCTGTGCCTTAAGGATTTTGGTACTTATGTTCATTATATTTTGTGCTCGGTGCATAATTTGGATTTGCATATTGGTTATGCTTAGGATGACATCAATTACGTCAGGTAACTTGTACATATCATTTCCCTAGCTGGCATGCACATAAATTTCATCTAGTAGTTCTTGGATACAGTCACAGCATTCTTATAATTATTGTGCGGTTAGAATTTTGTACTACCATGCTAGACCTATGATTTTTGGTGTGCAATTTTCTTTTTCTGGATGAGTAGCTGTCCTTGTGTCTTAGGTTTCTTTCTTCAAGGCCAGCAAGCACTGGCGGGGAACTGGCTACCGTTTGTTTCGGATGGCACCACTTCATCATCACCTAGAACTCTGTGGAATAAAAGAACCAATAATAGTTGCTGGTGCATATGTTATTTCAGCTGTGCTGGTCTTTTTGGCTGGATACATTGGTCTCATTTCAGCATAAGTTGATGAAGCTTTCAGTCATCTCCTCAAGTTCATTTGGCTGCTGTCAGGTTTCTCTTTCATTTTCGTGTTTGGTTGGACTTGCTAGTTGCTACCTCAAATTCTTTGAAGGCGCCTAATTTGAGTTCCTACAATTTTTGAACATGCCATTACTGTCCCAAGGGATTTAGGTAGATGTTAAACATTCTGAATGAAGACACTAGGAATGTGTGTGGCGTTATGTGTCTATGCTTGTCTTTTTCCAGAAAGTCGGATGCGGATGAGTGCACTCTTGGCTCAGATTATCATACGTAGTAAAGAGTAAATTGCAAAAACTCTATACAACCATTAAATTATTCGAATTGCATAATTCTAGTCATTGAATTAGTTTTTAGTTTATTTCCTTCTTTTATCCACAATTCTTATGGCGCTCGATTTCACAAGAGATACTGGGTTAATAAAGCAAACTTTTTCAACAAAATATGATGGTGAATTCTTTGGGGGAGTTGTTTAGAATAATGGAGGGAGTTTTTTTCTACCACTAATCACACAAAAAGCATAATCCTTTGACGTACAAACAGATTCATGAATAATCAAAAGCTTGATTGATTTGCACGAGAAGGTGAAGAATGGAGGAATTTTGCTTTGGTTCTGGTTCTACGGTCCATTTTACGAAGGTGAACTTCCTTTGTTGTCCTCAAAGGAAAAGAAAATTTGGGGTTTCTACAGCAAATTCTTGAGGGGATAGAAAGGGATAGAGGAATTTGGGGATATAAGATTTGAAGCGGTATGGTATTGCTTCAAATCTATATCGCCTTAAATCCTGCATCTCCAAATCCTTCTCTGTCCTCCACAGAATTATCTACCATGTCGCCATCTTGTGTCAATCAATTACGTGACCTATTTTAATCATCATCATCTCCAAATTGTAATTCCAGTTGTACCTTAAATGGTATATGAATAGTACTATAACGTTTGAGTATCTATCGTAAAAACAGATTACAGAGCAAGTCCATATAAAACTTGTGCTCGGTCTGCAAAATACTCGAAAACACTTAATCCATAGGCCGTCATATATACGGCGGAGTTTTTTTTTTTTTTTTTCCTTCTTTTATCCAAAATTCTTATGGCTCTTGATTTCACGAGAGATACTGGATTAATAAAGCAAACTTTTGCAACAAAAATATTATGGTGAATGTTTTCCATATTTTCTAGTTAGATTTAAGCAGAAACTACAAATTGAGGGCAAATTAATTAATTAATTAATTTTTTTTTTTACATATTCTTTGGGAGAAGAGTTAATTAGAATAATGGAGAGCAAGTTTTTTTTTTTTTTTTTGACCACTAATCACACAAAAAGCATGATCCTTCGACATACAAACAGATTCATGAATAAGCTTGATTGATTTGCATGAGAAACGTGAAGAATGGAGGAATTTTGCTTACGTTGTGGTTCCTATTATCTATGATCCATTTTACAAAGGTGTACTTCCTTTGTTGCCCCCGAACTTTAGCCGTTAAATTTGCTTCTTTCCATTGGTTTCAAGCTAGTTTCTGTTGTTTTACAAAATTTTGGCGTATAATTTATATATATACAAAGGAGAAATAGGAGGAAAAGATGAATTGGGGAACGGATTGAACCAAGGGAGAGTAAAAGGAAAAGGAAAAGAAACAAAAAGGCGAAAGTGAAAAATAAACAGCATAGAATTGGGGAAGCTCGGATCATGTCAAGATATATTAATATAAAGTTTTTGTATTGACATAAGGGATCTTAAAACTAATAGAAGGGCATAAATCCAATGAATGGCCTTTTGTGAGTAAAGTATGTGATTTGAAACCCCAAATACTTGTGTGGCTTACATAGTTATTAAATTTGGCACAATAAAGGAAGCAAACAAAAGGATCACTTGGATAATATAATTAGTTTAATTGGTGCATAGGTGATTGAGTTAATGCGCCACTAATATTAAAAATTATTGACACATAAAAGTAATTTTAGTATATACAAAATTTATAAGAAAGTGCTTTCAGATATTAATTATTGTATTTAGAATGATATATTATAAGCATATAAATATTAATGAAAGATTTAAGTTCATTTGGTTGTACTTTTACAAACTAGTTCATGCCGTCAAAGATAAAACAAAATCAACTAATTTCTAAGTATTCAACTACTTTCACATGATGACAACATTTTTAGTTTGGAAATTAAAAGGATTAATTGTACAATAAAAATGTAAAAAATTTATTTATAGTGTCATTTAAACATCAACTAATGATTTACCTTAGTGGCAAATTCTTATACACAACTAAAATTTGAATCAATGTTCAAATCTCATCAAAAAAATGTATTTTGGTTTAAAATCAAAGACCTAATCCTTTGAAAAAAACATGGTTAGCTAAAACCTCAGTGGTTTCCTGAGCCAACTAGTGGATAGATTTGACCGGATTTTGAACCAATTAGATTAAGGACTTTGGGCCAGCCTAGTTGGTTGGTTCACTAGACTAGACTGAGTTTAATAACTATGGTGGCCAAAGTCAATCAACTAGAAGAATTGGTTTAGTTTTATGGTTATAGCCACTTTTGCACTTTATCCCCTAATATTTTTTTTTTTCACTTTATCCCTTAACCCGTTAGTCAACTCAAACATTGTGTAATGGTAATTTCAAAAAGACATTTGTATGTCTAAGAGATAATTACAGTAAATCCTCTTAAAATATAGATTGTTTTGCATTTTATCCCCTAACATTATTTTTTAACAATTTGTTGTTTGTTACTAAAATCATTAATAAGTCCAATATATAATGACACCCAAGATAACTAATGTCTAAAAAATCAATATTCCTAACATAATAATAAAAAATAATATTTATAGATATGGTCCCAGTTAAATTTCATTCCATAACTGTACTTTTTTTAGATTGAGGAGAATATCTTGCTAATTTGATTTAATAATGTGAAAAAAATTGTTATTAAAAAAATTAAAATGTGAAAATATTTTTGAAGTCTAAAAATAATCAAGATATTGTCAGTTTCTCTTTGGGAGTGTGCATACAACTAAACTTTTCTTTTAGTAGATAGATTTTTTTTGAATATATGGAAGTGTACTTTTAGTTTGTTGATAATACTAAAAAAAAGTGAAATATGATTGATTTGGAGTTCAAAATTTTTAGTCCAAGGCATATTTCTTGATATATTTAATATTTGGAGTTCCTTTCTTGAAGAACGCTATTAGCACCAAAACTTAAAAAAAAAAAAAAGGTCAATGATGCAAAAAACAAAACCACTGACTATAGAAGCCCCAATAATTTGATCAGGCGAAACCTCATTAAAAAACTTGAAGCAGAAGACAAGTGCATTGACAATTAGCAAAAGAGGTCTTGGTCTAACGGTTAAGGTTGACCCCTAAAACTTAAAAGTTTTGGATTCAAATCCTCCCTTCCTCCTCGCCACTTCCTAAATCTCATCCTTCCCCTGTTTGAAAAAGTAAAAAATAAAAAATTCAACAATTAGCTAATTTTCATGTAATCCTTTTTAAAAATTTTTTGTATGCTGAACATACATTAATGTAGGCTTTATGGATGCCCTTTTTAGCAATCATTTTGCCTTAAGCTTCCTCCTGTTTCTATGTTTTTTTTTGGCTGGAACTAAAACCTTAGGGTTGCATAAATTGCATGGTTGCAAATTAACTTTGTTATTGAATTTGAAATCTAATGACTTTAGTTTTACTAGCAACCTTCTGGGCGTAGATCCTTCTATCTGTGACTAAGAATACTTTCGAGATGAGTACAGCAGCGAAGTTCAATAGTTTTATATGTTTGTGGATTGACTTGTTATTTTTTGGAATCATTACTATATTGAAAATTTTGTGTCAAGATATATATCTGTCAAGATCTGTCAAGATATGTATCAACTTGGTATATATATCTTGTATATATAGTAGTTAGCATATTCTTCTCCTAATTAATAGGAGACCTAGCGTAATTGTTGGTAGGGTTCTGTACTCACATGTATATATAGATAATTGCTATGCTAATGATAGAGTGAATTTCTTTGGCCGCACAAATCTTGTCATGGTATCAGAGCCTTGTGCTCTGATTCTTCAATAGACTTCATTCATTGATCTCTTTTCTTCTCGTGCATGGCCACTTCCGATAATAAGAAGGATGGTGACTCATCCAAAAAGAGAGTAACCTCTCCATATGATCTAAATCCTAATGACAATCCTGGAAATCTGGTTACCCATGTTCAACTGAAGGGTGATAATTATGATGAATGGGCCAAAGCTATTTGTATGTCTATGCGTTCGAAGAAGAAATTGGGATTCCTGGATGGCACAATCCAACGTCCCGATGATGACTCTGATGATCTTGAAGATTGGTATACAGTGAACTCGATGTTGGTCTCGTGGATTTTCAATACTATTGAGTCGACACTCAGATCCACCATCTCTTACAAGGATAGTGCCTTCGATCTCTGGCAAGATATCAGGGAAAGATTTCGTGTGACAAATGGGCCTCGCATTCAACAACTTAAGGTTGCCGTTGTCGAATGTAAGCAAGGAAACTCAACCATTAGTGATTATTATGGCCGGATGAAAAAGCTTTGGGAAGAATTGGCAGACCACGATGCGATTCCGATGTGTCATTGTGGACGGTGTACATGCAACTTAACGAAAGCATTTGATAAGAGAGCTGAAGATGAGAAGGTACATCAATTTCTTATGGGACTTAATTCTGATATATATGGCACGATACGTTCCACCATATTGGGTAGTGATCCATTGCCCAATATGAACAAAGTCTATGCCTCTATGATTCGAGAAGAGCAGGTTCACACTGCTAGCTCGTCTAAAGAGATGAAAGGTGAAGTGATGAGTTTTGTTGCACAAATCAATCCGGGGCGTGGGCGTGAGATGGTGAAAGATCCAACCAGATTCTGCACTCACTGCAAACGCACTGGTCATGAAGCAGACAATTGTTTCCAATTGATTGGTTATCCTGACTGGTGGGGAGATCGTACTCGTGGTGTCGGGAGAGGCACTGGCCGAGGCAAAGGAACTGGACGAGGCCGTGGAGGAGGACGTGGAGGCCAGGCGCATGCAGCTATGGCTTCTGGGTCATCTACTAATGGAGCTCTTGAAGGAGGTTTGAATCAAAATGGTCTCACAGGAATAACTGAGGACCAATGGCAAATGTTGCGGACTTTCCTTAATGCACAAACAAAACCTACACTAAAGATGACTGGTAAGAATACAAATGTGACATGGATTATCGACACTGGAGCCTCTAATCACATGACAGGCAATCTAGAACTCTTAATTGATCTCCAGGATTTGATGGGGTGTCCGGTAGGACTTCC